GATAACAAATAAAAAGAAAACAGTTATTGTTGTATCTGTAACATGACTTTCTATTCTTTTTGACAAAAAATTATAGTCCTTTTGTTCAACAACATGGTGTCCGAATATTTTCTTTCTTTTTAAGCTGTGAAATACAAAATATAATATAAATATATAAAAAATATAAATAGAAAGTGTCCACTTAAAGGGAACCCGACTATTATGACAAGAACTCTAAATATGTTACAAATGATCTCCACCACATAAAAACATACTTAAGAATAACTAAAAATTTTTTGTTGTTATTCATTAAATCTTAGTTGTTTAAAACTATTTTGGAGCCGTGGGAGCGGCCATGTTTTTTCGCACGCAATGCATTCTGGGACGATGACGTGTATTGGTTGTTAGCAGTATAAGTGCTTTCGTTCAGCTAACCTGTTTTGTTTTTCATAGTGTAGCAATGGTGTCAATTAAGTTGTCTATTAGTGACCTGGTTACGACTTGGTAGACCAGCACTATCTAGTCTTTGAGTCTGCTGTTATTAGCATTCTTAGCAAACTCCGCTGCAAAAGTCAAATGATCACTGCAGCATTACTGAGAGTTGAAAAACTGTCTAAATTTGTTCATCTGTGATAAAATGATCAGTGTGGCTGCTCTGCCAGGTGTAACAATTAAGTTTAACATCCAGGCATCCATGAAAACAGAATTTATGACATTTAACTGAGTTAGAAGTTAGCAGGAAGTTAGCTCGCTAGCTTCCATCTAAATACATCTAAATATAATATTGTAAAGGTAAACACAGACGCCATGGGAGCTCTTGATTAACACTCCTCGTTTATTACTCATCACCACACAACTGAACAGTTTTCCCTCCAAAACACAGCAACAACACTTCCTGAGAACTGGGTGTGAGTGCAGCCCTCCAGTGGTCCACCATACATGCCCCCCCGAACACCCACTAGGGTCATCCCCTAGTCCAAAGCCCTTGCTTTAATCAAATGTCCAGAACGGCTGAACCTGGAAAACTGGCTGTGGGGAAACGAGCATGAGGACCAGGCTGGCATGGGCAGTCAGGAAAAGCTGACGATAGCTCGGGCCCCGCCAGGTAGGGGGGGGGCTCTCCCAGAGGAATAAGCAGAGTTGTGCAGTCGAGTGGAAGGCGGATGGCCATGGCGGGGGGTCTGGGCCTGCACCACTGGATCATCCAGAAGAACATGTGCCGGTTTAAGTCTGTCAATGGAAACAGCCTCCACACGGGTCTGTCCTCCAGTACAAGGTCAGTTTACGCATACTGGAGGTCAAGGACGTCCGGGTCAGCACACTGGTCAGCGGCCGTAACGTCAAAGTCTATGCCAACATAAATGGGAGAAACCAGCACGCGGGACAGACAGTCAGCCACACAGTTGGACTTACCAGCCACGTGCTGAATATCTGTTGTAAACTAAGAAATGGCAGCCAACTGGTGCTGCTGGCGCCCACTCCACAGAGAAGAGACCTTGGACATCGCAAATGTCAAGGGTTTATGATCGACGAACGCGGTAAAGCTCCGACCCCCCCCCCCAAAAAAAGCGGAAATGCCGCGTCGCGAGGTGCAGGGCCAGCAACTCCCTGTCAAAAATACTATATTTGCGCTCACTGTCCCTGAGCGTGCGACTGAAAAAAGCGAGCAGCTGCCAGACACCGGAGACCCGCTGTTCTAACACCGCACCCACCGCCACGTCTGACACGTCGGTGGTCAACGCAATCTCCGCCGACGGAAACGGGTGGGGCAGCAGGGCGGCGTTAGCCAGCAGGGACTTGGCCCCAGAAAATGCCTGGATGCGTTCAGGGAGCCAATCAACCGGGTCCTTAGCTGTTTTACTTTAAGGCAGCATAGAGTGGCTGCAGCAGGTGCACAGCTCTGGGGAGAAAGCGGTTGTAGACCCCCCAAGAACTCCCGCAGCGCTTTAACCGACGTGGGACGTGGAAAAGCCGAAACATGCATGAGTGTGTGTCTCACTATGGGAACGCCTCCTGCATGACCTCATCAGAAGCTCAAATACCATTACGCCAGCCCTTACAGGCTGGCTAAGTGACACCCATGTCAGGAGG